ATTGAAGAGCAAACATACTGGGCTGTTGTCAAATCAGTTGTGGCTTGTGATCAACTTTATCATATTGTCTGTTTAGTTTCTTTTCCTCTTCTTTTCTCCATTTTTCTTGATCTTTGAAATCTGACCTCATCTTTCAGATAGGGAAGGGTATATGTGTATGTCCTGATACACCTTCCTTTCCCACCTTCAAATTAATTTAATCATGACCACCAAACAATTGTTTCCTCCCAGTCTCTGACACGAATAGAGTGAACTCCTTATGTGCTAGTCATACTTCTTCAGGGTTAAGAACCAATTGTGCATAAGATGGCATGGCATTTTATTATTTGAAGGAGATAATTTATCTTTATCACCGTAAAATATATTAGAGTATTGAAAACCTTAAATTTGTATTACCTTTTGCTTTTACCTAACTACTTGAGTTTGAAAAGTCCAAGGAACTGAAACAAACGACCAATACATATGCATTTACATCCCTTATCTTCAGTCAAGATGCATATGTATTTTGTAAAAACAAAATACATATGCATTACAAAATACATATGCATCTTGACTGAAGATAAGGGATGTAAATGCTGTAATTAGCTAAGTGAGGAGGTACCAAGTTCTAGGCATTATTAGTCGATGCATTTATCCACTATCTCTTCAAGCATAGCCTTGTGTGGGCTAGTCTTTGACCAGGCTTCTTTGGTTAATTCCATATAATTAATTGGGTTCTTAGGTTGCCGAGGAACCAAATGTGAAAACAACAGAATTTTGCAGTGGCCTAAGATGAAGTGTGTTAGATATCCTAGATTGGAAGAGAACGAGACGCTAGATAATAACAGTGCATGGAAAGATATGCGTGCGCGAAAACCAAATAGATGTTGACTGCGCAAACTATATTGCTTTCAAGTTCTTAAATAGCTCAACCTCCTGCATTTAAAGTCAAAGGATCTAATTTTCCACACCTTGTGTCAGTTGAACTAGGGACTAGGCATGCAAAAATTTATGAAGGGACAAGGGGAGGCACTTAAAAGAACAGATGGATAAGTGATTTGTTCATCTAAGAGGGCAGATTTTATTTTGTATTAGATGCAGTGAGTATGGCAACAGACGGAGGACTTAGTGACATGGATATGTAGCAAAAGAGAGTGGTAAAACCGTAAAAAGATACTTTAGGTGAAATGCTATTAGGCTGTTAACTTCAGAAATAATATATTGATGGATCATGACATTCCTAGTCATGAGATTATAGAAAGGCGGGATTAATGAGAGATTTTTTCAAAACTTGACCTTTAAAGAAAGAGCTTTTTCACCTTAATCACCTGCTTTATTCCTTGGCTCAGTAACAAGGCTGACATTTTAGCCTTGGTAATTCTGTACATAGTGATCAACACAATATACTTTATTTATCTGTCTTAAATTTTATTTCTGCCTCAAAACTGGACTCTGAGATATTGTACTTTGTCTTTTTCTCCTGATTGTGATGATGATGCTAAAGGAGATTGACCATTAATCCACATGTCTTGTTCTTTGATTTACTATCAGCTTGTCAGTGCATGTTACATGGAGAGAATAGACCTTTCTGCTCATGGGTTCTACATTACACCTGATATTGGCTTTGACTGGAAATCTGGAAAAGGCACTGCATTTAGGTACTTCACCTATGGTGCTGCATTTGCCGAAGTTGAAATTGACACATTGACAGGCGATTTCCATACTAGGAGAGCAGACATTATCCTAGACCTTGGATTCTCTCTCAATCCAGCAATTGATGTTGGACAGGTCATTAATGCTCTCTCCGTACTGTTACGTGTAAATTCTGAATTTTTCATTGCTTAACTGGCCTGCTTATCGACATAGTTTGATTTATATGAATTTTAAAAGGTGACTATTGATTAGTAAATGCTGAAGTATTTGATGATTGAAGGTCTGCAAGTTGTGGCTTTTGTCAGATCTATCTATGAATACATAATGTTTCTGTTTCATTGTTTTGAATAGTAAGCCAGAAATAAGAATAGAATTAACTTTAATGTGTAGATAATGTTTCCGTTTCATTTTTTGTACTGCACTCAATTGGGAAATTTCCAGATCTTCTTTTTGTTTCCTTTTTTCCTAATGTTCATATATTTACAAAGATGACCTGCAAATATTATGTCTAGTGCCATTAGATCCCAGTTGTAGACTTGAAGCTAATTGTCTATATTTGGAAAGAAATAGAACCACTACCTCACTGGATCTTGTATCTTTCAATCTGAAATGGCGCTTGCTAACGTTCGTGCATACTCCTTGTACTTGATGCAGATTGAAGGAGCATTTGTACAGGGTCTTGGATGGGTAGCATTAGAAGAGCTGAAATGGGGCGATAAAGCGCACAAGTGGATTCCACCTGGATGCTTATTCACATGCGGACCTGGAAATTACAAGCTTCCATCATTGAACGATGTGCCTTTCAAATTTAATGTCTCTCTTCTGAAAGTAAGTTGCACCACCATCTCTTTCTTGACGTTAGGTGTCTAGATTTTCTTATTCAGTGGCTAAAAACTTCTCTGTCATTTTCTTATTTGTTACTTTTTTTGCCCTTTGTGTTTCACAAGACTTGGTTAAGCATAATACATCATTGGTGAGCTGATATTCACTGTTTCTTGAAATTGCTTATAATTTAGGTAGATTGTTGTTGGTTCTAGCTGCTGTTTGTTTTTCTTGAATAATTGTCGACATAGTACTCTCTATTTTATTTGGAAGTCGATATGCTTTTTCACATGAAGTCGTGACTTTGCAGTTAACAAATTTCTGGACATTTGCCAACAGGATGCGCCAAACACCAAGGCAATCCATTCATCTAAAGCAGTAGGGGAACCACCTTTCTTTCTTGGCTCAGCTGTCTTATTCGCAATCAAGAACGCCATCAGATCTGCAAGGGCGGAAGCTGGTTACAGTGACTGGTTTCCTCTTGATAATCCAGCCACTCCAGAGCGTATTCGAATGGCTTGCACTGATGAATTTACAAAGTTATTAGTGGAGTCTGATTTTCGGCCAAAGCTAAGTATTTGATGGTTGAACTATACTGCCAAGGTGGAAGAAGGCTTGGAGCTTCTTGTATGCCCTCTGTACATTTTCCTGTAACATTATGTAAACTTTAACTTTATAGTAACATGTCAAATGAGAATGTAACTTTGATATGGATAACGCGTGCATCCTCTGTATTACCGCGGCTGCTGGCACTGAGTTAGCCGATGCTTATTCCCCATATACCGTCATTGCTTCTTCTCCAAGAAAAGAAGTCCACGACCTATGGGCCTTCTACCTCCACGCGACATAGCTCCATCAGGCTTTTGCCCATTGCGAAAAATTCCCCACTCCTGCCTCCCGTAGGAGTCTGGGCCGTGTCTCAGTCCCAGTGTGGCTCACCATCCTCTCAGACCATCGCCTTGGTAAGCTATTGCCTCACCAACTAGCTAATCAGATGCGAGGCCGTCCTCGGGCGGATTCTTCAATTTCTTGTGCAGCGCGAATCTGAATTTATTGGTCCAATGAATCTCGAGTTAAAACAAAAAAAGTTCAGATCAATCATTGGAAGCTGTCCCATGCCATCCAACCTAAGTCTTGAAGAAAACAACATAAGAATAGGGCAAAGCCTATAAGCCTCCTGGAGATAATTGTCAATGCAAATAATGTGGACTCAACAAAACAGCTAATTTATCTTGTATTTTTTTTTATTATTTTGGTTGAGGGTTCGTCCTTGTTACCGAAAGAATAGCTCATTTTCTTTTTCTTATTTCTATTTCTTAAGACAAAGCAAGGTGGAGTTTATAAATTCATCCTTCTTTAAGCGGAATGAATATACAAAATAACTTAGTGGGTGTTTGGACATAAGAATTGTAAAATTCCGAAAAAGTGAAATTTTTCTTTCAAGTGAAAATGACATTTGAAAATTAGAGTTGTGTTTGGACATGAATATAATTTTGGGTTGTTTTTGAATTTTTGTGAGTGTTTAGAGTGAATTTTAAAAAACAGTTTATTGGAGTTTTTCAAATTTGCGAAAAATTTCAAAATTCATCTTCAATTTCCAAAAAAAGGAAAAAAAATTCGAAAAGAGTGATAACGGGCTCTTAATATTAATAAGTAACCTTAGAACCTGTAACGAAGGTAGGATTTTGACCAAGAGGGATCATATATATATATATATATATA